TATATATATATATATATATATANATATATATATATATCTAAATATGTATATATATATATATATATCTAAATATGTATATAATTATATATTATGCCATATAAGTCACCAGGTTATATACATATATATATATATATATATATATATATACTAATATGTATATATATATATATATATATCTAAATATGTATATAATTATATATTATGCCTTATAAGTCACCAGGTTTTATACATAGTACATTTCGCTGAGTATAGGTGCAGTTCTGAAGTGCAAAATCAACTATTTCGACTATATATTTTGAGTTTATAGAAGTTAAATAAATCGGTATAAATTGAAAAAATAACGGTTAACGTTCAACTTATATCTACACCGTGTATAACTTATTGACGTTAGCGGCCCTGCACCTGACAAGTGACCACATAATTTTAGATGCGTGACTTTGAATATTTAGATTTGTATACGTCGCACGTATTTTAAAAACGTTCTGGACTTCTGGGTAGTACAATAAGTGCATATTCATATCATAGAAGTTTATAAATAGATACATGAGTTCACGTTCAACTTTTAATTTTAAATAAAGAAAACGATTGTTTCTCGTTTTTGCTTTTATTTTTAATAATAGGCCGTATGTGGAGACAGACGCAGGTTGCGCAGTTAGCTTCGACGATTGCGATTAGAGTCCATATCGGCTGGAAATTTTAGGAGGTTTTTTATTATTATTCCCAGCGAAGACGTCCTACAGACCTACAATGACCTACATATGACCGTCTTTGGCAAATTGTGTTTAGATATATAACTATGCAAACTTAAAAATGGCATACCATCAATGTACGATACGATAATATTATTGGTTCTCAATCAAGTCAGAAGTTGTCAGATTACAGATGCTTGACCACTATTTATATTTATATTTTAGTATTGGTTTTTTTATATAAAAATGTAGCGGCTCTACTCTCTAGAGAAGTGTATTTATGATGCAGGGTGTAGACTGTAGAGTTGAGACTGTATATAAAGTGGAGAGTGTAGAGTGTAGACTACGTGTACGGTGTAGACTGTAGAGTGTAGCCGGTAGCGTGAGTAACCTGTAGTATGTAAAAAATACATAGAGAGAGAGTCTAATTGTCTACACAAAATTCTATTTTTTTATATTAAAAATGAAAAAAAGATACATAAGTATAAATATATCTGACATGGTAAACGACACCACATGTTAGATTTCCGACATGTTTCCGCCGTCGTTAACCTTTCTGACCTGGCAACATTGGGTTTTAATTAAATATTAACCAATAAAAAGACTTAATGTATCCGTAGCCAATAAAATATATGCATTGACCTCAATAATAGTCAAGGCGGAAACTAGAGGTTAACGACACGACAGTTTCCTACAGTATCCGACAATCGTTTACCTGTTGAACATGGCAACACTGTCGCCACCTCATACCAAGCCAGAAATATATAGCTCCATAAATACATCATGAGATGTATTTTTAGTGTCGCACAACCACTAGTGGGTCTATTCAGTATTTAGTACAAGCGAGTATTTTTTTATATAAAATAGATATCAGTAAATAGAGAATATAAATAGTAAAATAGAGCGGCCCAGAAGATTATAATATATGTATTTTTAGTATATATTTATATATAAAAATAACAAAAAGTACGAAAACTAAAAAGTGAACTATATATTTAAGTTGTTTTTAAATAAAAAAATAGTTCAAGTGTTCCAACTTCCCGGGTTCCTGACTTCCTGTTCCCGTATTATCCAATTCACGGTTCAGTTTTCAGTTTTCTCGTCCGAATTTATCTATTTTTTTATTTATACTTTTAATAGTCTTTATCGGAATCAGAATATATCCCCAATTGGTTGTGAATCACGAAACATTCGGTGAGCCAATGGTATTGGCGAGTGCCATAGACCGCAGTACACGTCAAAACTCCAAACTACACCGAATTTGAGCACACGCAACCATGTTGACGTTTATAATTTTTTTACTAAAACCCCTAAAAATGTACCCCACTACATACCCCCAGTACAAATATTTTTGTGGCTTAGTATAATCCTCGCCATGTACTCTTATGTGGCTCCCAACTGCTGGATACCTCACACATGTGTTCGCCTTGCAATCGATGTTGGGTTTTAGCAGCCAAATAGTATAAATTCCCGTTTGTTTTTGAAATTGTATTCATTCATAAACACTTATCAGATTTGATAACGAAAGCATAGAAACTTGAATAATTCACGATCGATATGATGTACACTCGAACCATGGTCGCATCAATTGCGGCACTGGCCACATTTGCTGATGCCGCTTGTGATATCACGCTTTCGCTCTTAGAAGACGTTGACTACGGCCCAAATGTGCCTGCGAATGGAGCAGACCTCCCCGCGGTCATAATCACTAACGCCCGTGCGGGAGATACGCTTGGTGGACCAGCATCAACAGATTCAAAGTGTGTATACTATTATGAGCCCGACTCGATCCAGCTAGCAACGAACGTTTCGTATGATGGCATGGCCCAATTTGTAGGTCCTAATTGGCCGTATGTGGAGACAGACGCAGGTTGTGCAGTTAGCTTCGACGATTCGGTTCCAGCGGATTCTATCTTCCGAATGGACGGATATGTTACCGTTTCTGTTTATGAGGGTGTATTGTTCGGTGGTCTGCCTACCTATTTCTGGCCTGATGACACTCCGGGAGTAGGCCCTGCTATGGAAGGTCTTACGTGCGTATGCAATTTCGGACCCTGGTCTTCAGTCGATGAGACAGGGCAAGGTGCACACTTCGAGGTCGAACAAAGCCTTCCCGAGATGGAAAGTGATAGAATCGATACAGTTGCCTCTGAAGAGGCCTCCGTTGCCGAACCAACCTGTGCTATCATGCTGTCGCTACTAGAAAATATCGACTACGGCTCGAATGTGCCTGCGAACGGGGCAGACCTCCCCGCGATCATAATCACAAACGCCCGTGCCGGTGATACGCTTGGTGGACCAGCAACAACAGATTCAAAGTGTGTATACTACTATGAGCCCGACTCGATCCAGCTAGCAACGAACGTTTCGTATGATGGCATGGCCCAATTTGTAGGTCCTAATTGGCCGTATGTGGAGACAGACGCAGGTTGTGCAGTTAGCTTCGACGATTCGGTTCCAGCGGATTCTATCTTCCGAATGGACGGATATGTTACTATTTCTGCCTATGAGGGTGTGTTGTTCGGTGGACTGCCTACCTATTTCTGGCCTGATGACACTCCGGGAGTAGGCCCTGCTATGGAAGGTCTTACGTGCGTATGTAATTTCGGACCCTGGTCATCAGTTGACGAGACTGGTCAAGGTGCACACTTTGAAGTGGAGCAAAAGTACCCAGAGATAGAAATGGATAGTGCTGATATGTTATCCATGGTGCAAACCGATGTAGTGACACAGACAGATGATGCCAGCATGACAGAGTTCGAAGTTTAAATGGATCAAAAGTACAGCATATAAATATAAACAAATATATCCAACAATGGTCGCGTGGATTAACTATGAGTTTCTGTGTTGGGGAAACCATGCTGGTATATTTGTAGTAACTACTTTTGTACGAGACAATGATGCAGTTTCTGACGTACATCGGATTTGAAAGGAACAGATACAGTCAGCAATAATGAACCGGATACAGTATTCCTCATTAATAGTATCCATCCTACTAGATCGGATGCTGTATAGTTTGAAATTGCAATAAAAATTGCATTCTTCATTTGGACGCGTGCACTGCTTGCTGTCTGCTGGTCGACAATTTAAAATTTTAGGCAAAACATTCAAAGACCACGCTAAAAGAATGTATACCCGTTATAATTTATTATAATATTTCATTATATAACACCCCACGTCACCAACGTAAATAAATAGTTGTGGTCTTAAATTTTTTTAAATATGATGAAGTGATTTATTTTATTCTAAATGTATGGTTTTTTTAGAATAAAAGTTGAACGTTTGTAAATATTTACGTATTTATTCATGTAAAAGTAACGGTCTCCGTTTCCGTTCATATGACCTTGGGGGCTTGGACTTTGCAGGCTGGAGTCTGGACTCTCTGGGGCCTGGGGCCTTGGGCCCTGAGGGAACCCTTCGTCTATACGACACCCGTCACTATAAAATTATAAACGGCTGAGCTCGTGCCCAAAGCCGCATCCGGTCCATTAGCAAGGTAGGGTCGATATTTATGGGCCCACGTAAGGCGACCTTTGCCCAAGTACCGAACTATTAAAAACGTGCCGATATCATACAACAGTCAAGTATCAGTTTCAGAATCGGTTTCATGGCTTTCTATATTATACACGAGAAGGTTATTTGAAACCCTTCTATATTATACACGAGAAGGTTATGTAAATATGATCGTTATTGTGCAAACCAAACGATGTTAAATTTTGGTTTGTCCCGTTTTGTTGTAAAAAAAAAATTTCAGGTCAAAGCGATTTTGACCTGTTCTGTGATTTCATTAACCACATTTTTATATATAGAATAATATCGAAAAAATTATCACTTGGTTCACTATACAAGGGCTCGGGGCCCGGGCGTTAAATGTTTTATAGTCACGGGTGCCGTATGGACACAATCCCATCACTTTACATACAAAAAATTCAATTTTGTGAATCGTAGGCTGTATGTAACTAGGACCGTAAATGAATAAGCCGTTATTGTCGTATGATCGCCACCGATTTTTAACACTGTAACACAATATGTGTGTATTTATTCAGAATCTTTGGCAAATTGTTTTTAGGAGCCTATGTAAATTTAAGAATGTCATACCACCAATGCGATACGTTGATATTATTGGGTTTTAATCAAGAGAGAATGGTGTCAGGCTGTCATCCTGTCAAGGGCTCGAGAGCAGTGAGAGCACAGAATGCCTAGAATAGTGAATAGTGAATACTGATTACTGAATACAGTTGTTTGCAGCTCGACATTTGTGATTTAGTAGTTGTCACTTGTCACTGTTATCAGTTGTATGTAGGTAGACAATTCTTGTGAATTGTGGCTTGACACAAGGCAGATGTGAGAGTTGAGACTTGAGACAAGACGACAGCTGACCTGGTTTTAGAAATAATAAAAAATAAATAGAACGAAAAGTCCTATTTTTAAAATATGACCACTCTCATCTGGAGTCTGAGTCCTCAGTCCTGGCCTCCTCTGGAAAGCCAGGTATAGTTATAAACCCAATTGGTTGTGGATCAGGAAACGATCGATAAAAAGCCAATGGCGTCAGCGATTGTTTTCCCAGTACCTGTGTTAAAACTTAAAAGTGATAAATCAGGAAATCACCCATCGCCGTGCCGGTGCATTTCTGCATACTGCATAGCACTGAGACTCTGAGAGTAGGAGAGTGCCGTGTGACTGAGTTTAGGTGACTGTCTGAGCCAGGGCTGCCAGGGCCCAGGCATCCTCTCTGAACTTCTGAATGTTTTTAAAATTGAGAAGAAGGCTATGTAAATAGTGAAGTCTGTAAATAAATAGTGAAGTCTGAACCAGTGTACCTGGAACCATACATATGTATTTATTTTTTTAAATGACACTTTTCAAAGTAAAATAAATAAAAACAATCACTATTATACATACAAAGATCTATTTTATGTTGATATGTACCCAGTACGGCAGTACCTGAGTACCCACATGAACATACATACTCTCTATTTAAAATTTACTATTAATAATATTTCTGATTGTTTTTGTATAGTTTTGTTTTGTTGGTCATTTATTAGATAATAGCAACAAAAAGAATCATTGAATCAAGCACAGCACGTTTTTACTGGATTACTTAGCGCAAACAGTTTTACCTAAATATTTAGTACCCTCGCCATATACTCCTCGTACTTGTGTCAACCAAT